TTCTCCAGAGTGTCCAGGACGTGCTCCTAATTCAGCATTAAAATCTTTATCACTTATCACCCGCAGAAAAATACTGTGTTCAATTAACTGAATCCTACATACATTTCCTGTTTAGATGTGTGTTTAGAGGGCTGCTCAGATTGGGCAAAAGAGTTAATAGCTGGGTATGTTTTTGTATGTTTCTGTCTTATATTAATAACAATAGTTTATATTTATTTAGTTTGTTTGTGACAGTGCCTGCAGTGTTTTTAGTAGCAAAAGCAGCTTTCAGAATGATGCCAATTCCACTTAATAGGGACCTTAATTGTGATTAAAGAAAAAGCTGTGCAGCAGAACATGTTTTACTACTACATATTATCACCATAATGATGATGTGGCCTTATAAAATGTGACAAACCTTCAAGTCTCTCAGCTCTCATTGTAGATCATCATTTTACTAAAAATTACCGTGTGCACTCATTGGGCCAGTGCAGTAGCTGGGTCTGGGTGGATATAGTACTTCTGGGCAATGAAATAGAACGCGCAATCGGTGATGCATATTCAATGAACATCGTTATTAATTCGGCGTCGTAGTGTTGATCATCTTTATTTGTTTTAACTAAGTTGATGTTTCTTCACTCTGGCGCATTTCAGTTCTGCTATTGTAGTGTCGGTCTTCACCTCTGGCAAGGCGATCCACTGTAAACATCTTATAAAGAAAAACAGAAAACATGAATTATACGTGTGGCACAATCTAATTAACGACTATTGTCATTTCGCTGAGGTTGATTCATGATTAATGAACCAGTACTTTGACTGATATTATTTAGTAAAGATATGTTTATATCTTAGAGCATATCCCTCATTACCATAGAGAGATTGAGTCCACTGTTTTCGAGTTCGAAAGGTTGATTGATTCTTCTTGTTGTCTCCAGTGTCTTCAGGATAGGGAACAGCAAGAAATCTTGTACTTTTAAGATTAACTGAATGGCGTACATGATTAATGTATGACAAAGGGTTTAAATAGCTACCCTACATAATCCATAAGATTAAATAAATGTGAGCTTGATAGAATGGATGATATACACTTGTAATACAGAAAAAGCAACATTATGTAGAATGATGACTAATATATTATGGATAAGATGTGCAGCCACAACAATGTTTCACATATATCATTCATTCTTATCATATGAAGTTGTAGAAAATGTTGGCAAACTTCAGGTTGGTCATAGCGGCTCAACATGTTTGTATCTTTAGCTGCTAAACATGAACGGTGTTCTCTGATTGATCATCATGTAATG